CTCCATCTTTCCCAGTGAACAGCCGAACAATGAAATTACGGCTAGGATGGCAGACTGGAAGGCTTTCCTTCAGTTCTGTGAGTCCCTATGAGCTTCGAAGATGTGAGAAAACTAAATCCTTCAACCAGTGGTGTCGAGGAATCATCTGGCGAACACAATTTATCGACTACATATCCAACGCCAAAATTCATACCCGTAGCAACATCATCCAGCTTTCTAATGTACTGAAAGATCAGCGACTGTGTTGGCCGGGCAAAGAGTTGAGGCATCCACCAGTAAAAATCACCTCCATTATACCAACCCCAAGATGACAATGGAAAAGATGTAGAAAAGTTAAACCTCTCTGGACACGGTCGCCAGATGACATTGAAATCCTCTCTGAACCTGCGTTGTACAGGTACAAACTGTGGGCAGAGGTTGAAAGCAGCCGTCCGGGACATCCTTCGAGCCGGCTAAATCACGACAACGTTATCTGCATAGCGCAGGCCCACCGTGGCCTTGCTTTTAGCTGCATAAGGGACCGTTTAAATAGTCGCGGTTCTAAAGAATTTGAGCACCTGTAGTATGGATGCAATACTGCACATCATTCATTTCCGCGTTTTGGAGATAACCGCAAAAATGGCAGTTTTTGATATAGTCGGCAAATTTCAAGGAGGAAAAGTAGGACGGTGAACCTACACCGATCAAATACTGCGAAGTGACATGAAATAGTTCTTGCCACCGCTAGCACTGACGGTATTCATCAAGAATACCTGGGTTATCTTTAGCGCAAAGGTAGGCTATTGTTTTATTCGAGAAAATTTCGACAGTATAGCGGGTCTTACGACTTAAACCTAAATGACCTTATTAGGGCTGCCACTGAAGACATTTCGACTAAGTAAATAATTAAGGACTGTCACGCTAAACAGTCAGACGTCAGTAAAATCAGGGGACAGGCGATCGTCATCACAGCTGTGAAAAATCTTATCGTGCTGACAGCATGAAAACAAAAACCAAGACTGAATACTTAAAAATTCAATCCTCCTTTCTCCGGGAGATTAATTCAACGGCCTTCATATTTCACGCTCCTCGTCGGTTCGGTATCAAAGTACAATGATAAAACGATACAAACAGATGTGATAAAGGTCAAATTTTGATGTACGAGGGGCCAAGCAGGGTTACTGTTGACAGCGTTTCATTAACAGCCGGCGTCCTGGTATTTTTCAGGTCGACGGCATTGTCCCCATTCATACTTGTGTTTGCGTCGGTCATCGGAGATTCTTCTATCTCTCTAAACGTGAAGTTCATTTCGATACAGATCGCACTTGTGTTCTGAGAGTCTATTTCATGCTTTTCGACGACACTATGTTGAACAACAGCATAGTTATTTTCGCATTCTGCTTCGATGACTATGGGACCATTCGTTTGCCTCATACCTATTCATCATGGCGTGTTGACTTTTGTTTAAAGTTTGAATAATGATAAAGTCCATATTTCACCCTGAAAAGGCCCGGGTTCATAAATCGGAAGAGCGTCGGACTCAGAACCGAGAGGTCTTGGGTTGGAGCCCCAATCTGGCTATTCGCCGTTTTACCGAAACTGATGACTACCAATCTGTGGGAAGGGAATAGGACACTACAGATTATGCTTGCCACACTGCCGCTGTCGACTATGCCCTTAAAATAAAACGCACCTGGCACATGGCATGGAAATAGAGATCAGCGCCAAACTGTTAACTTCTTGAAAACAGGGATGCCAGAAATGGCTTCGTCGTGAATGTGCGAGGAAGACCGACACCGAATGATTACAAGCTTTTTTATCAGATGGATGCACAGCCTAATTATTATTCAGGTTTTACGATTTTCCCACATAACTGGGAGATCTGTCAATCAGATATTATTCTCACGTAACGGCAATACGTCTTCTTC